TTGATAAGTTAAAGTTTTCATAAAATCGAGTTTACGGGACAAAGATAATTCATTCAGGTTGTGAAAATTACATATTTGTAAGTAAAAAGACATTACAGTTAATTATGTTGTTCATAAAAATATTATATTTCAATCAATCTTTTCTAATACTTTTAAATAGTCAAATATGTCAAAAATTTTTCCTCCCAATTTCCATTAGTCGCTGTTTTAAATTTGCTGTTTATATTCCTTCATTGATAAAGTACCATTCAATTCAATTCAAATGTCTATTCATGTACCTCGTCGTGCTTCTTCGAAGTTATTCTGTTTTACCATTTACTGGTTTAAGATATATTACCGTCTGATAATACAGGAAACTGCTACTATAACAACTGAAGGTACAGCAGCTATTGAGCTTACCGTAAAAGATTTTCTAATTATTAAATGAAAATGAAAAGTTATTTTCTTTTTAAGAATTTTAACATTAAAACTTTAACTAATAAGAACCTGTACGGTTCAAGAGAACTTTGTATCGTGAACTTAGGAAACTAGAATATAAATTTCACGGGAGAAGGTGATAAATGAAACAAGCTTGATTAATTTTTTTATCGCATTTTAATGGTAGTCATATCCAAGAGTACGCCGAATCGCAACACAAGTTGCAAGAATCATTCTTTTCGGCTTAATTACGATTTACATTACTATAAAACGATTAGAAGCCACGTATTATTTCTCCCCATCATTTTTTTTCGTCCATCTCTTGGTTTTCTACGTGTTTCTCTCGAATATTCTCTCGGGGGAAAAAAGATTACTTAATTGCTCTTTTACTTTCGTCGATGAGAGAACGCCAATTCGACGATCATGCGATACGACGAACGACCTAGATGTCGATTGGCTGTTTGAATTCAACCGGAAGAGAGGCGGAAATGCGAGGTTTCTCAAGTAACAAGAACAGTATTCGAAAGAAGTAGAACAGATCTCAACAACGTCGTATCACTAATTGCTTTTTAACAAGTTAACGACACTTGTTAATTGAATTGAACCGACAACGAACTGTCATTTCGTCGGCGCTCTTCCGTTCGTAACTATAATCGATCAGAAATTCGCCTAACTCCCTTCTATCTACGCGTAGCAACGTCGTGATAATATTTCTGATTATACAAACGCGTGTGTTTCTACGGTTATTTCTCTTCGAGTAGACAGAACGAAAACGGTAAATCATCTTTGAAATTATCTTCCTCTATTCGCGAACAGTCCGACGAAAAAATGGCAGCGATAAAAAAGTTGAAAGTTCTTCAGAAACGTAGCAGGATCATGGATCAGTGAAATGTGACAGACTCTGGTCGCTACGACAGCTTGCCTCGTTGTAAAAAGAAAGTAATCGCGGCTGAAACTTTTCCATTTCGTCTTGCTCGTTTTTACGATAACGTAATAAAACACGTGGAGGCTTAGAGCTCGTTGTTCGAGCTGTATAAAACTGATTCCAGCTGGCTAAGATACCTTTTTACGATTAATATATATCGGGTCTTCATTCTTTTATAAATTAACAAGATATGCTAAAATTAGATCAACACTCGAATGAGATAAGACTCTCATTAATCAGCACTCATATATGAAATGTTATTTATATAACAATGTTATTACATTTCTGAAGGGAAAAGAAAATAAAGTGAAAATTCTTTTCCTGCATTCAAGTGTCAATATAATTTTGCCACGTTCTGTATTCTCCCTCGTTTCAATCTTTCTCTCAACTTTCACGATGGATTCTGACTTGTTCCTCGGAAAAATCATGTTGCTTATAAAACATGCTCGAATATGTCACCTCATCTCTTTCTTAACTCCGCCAATTTTTGTTTCATCGAAGATTCGACAAGCCTTGGCAGACGAGATAAATACTCGTCCCTCTTCCCCTCTAAAAGTATAATGCGTTTAACAGGTTTTTTTTTTAAGAATTTGCAAAGTTTCGAGAATCTGAAACTCACGAATGTTCAATCCTATCGCTCCTTTCGTCAAATCGCAATCTATCGGATAATTGAAGAGACTTCGATAGTGAATCACTAAGCTTACGAGCGTCGCGCGATTAAATTTTAATTTGGCACTTGCATTCTTGAACGCGATTTTTCTTCTTCTAATTTTATCTCGCGCGGATTTACATACAATACAATACAATGTCACTGCCACATCCTTGTCCTGTTTCTTTCCCTCATTTCTTTTTTTTTTTTTTTCTTTTTCCATAATCGTTCGAGGAAACGTCTAGTTGCTTTTAATACTAATTCTCCTCTCAACTTCTTTCCATCCACGGATCCTATGTAACTCAGGCCTAGCTTCGTTTATCGTTAAATCGTCGTTTATACACAGTCACGATTCACGTGAATTACACGTCGACTGTCGCCAACAAATTTTCGTTTCTCTTTCGTCTTTGTTCGACAATTCGAATAGCTTGAAGATCGCAGATACTCGGTACATTGTTTTACATTGTCGTTACACGCTTCGTGTCGTGTCGTTTTATAACATTAAAGGCAGGCAGAGGAGACGTTTAACTTCAATAGAATCGCAATACTTGAAAAGAGAAATTTCGGAACATTTCGTTAATATCAACGAGATGTTCTCGTATCGGTGAGAATCGAAAACGGCAGTCGACGTGTCTAAATAACTCGAACGCGGGATACTTAACGAAAAGGATATCGATTTTATAAAATTTCATCGGACAGGTATATATATATATATATATATACATATATATGTTCGACGTATA